TGTGTGTGTGTGTGTGGGACGTGCGCGGGGCGGGGCGGGGCGGCCAGCGGAGTCATGCCTTCCGTCGCCCGCGTGCGTTAGTGGCGCTTCGCACAGCCACTGCGCTCAAACGAAGGAGGTGCAATATGGGAGGGCACGGTGGCGATATCACAAGGGCTCATAAATGTGAGGAGATGCGAAAAAGGAGAGGACGTACTTCTGTTGACACACACACACACACACACACACACTTCTCCCTTTTTTCCAAACGCGTGACGTGTTTTGCTTTTTGTTATTCCGGAGAGGGGGGGCGAGGGAGGTGAGGAGGGGAGGGTGGCGCCCATCTGTGCGGGACAGGCAGAGGAGAGAGAGAGTGTATGTGTGTGTGTGTATGTGTGTGTGTGCGTTGAGAGTTACGAGGAAAACAAGACGGTGCATGGTTGCGTGCGTGTGACGGGCTTCCCATGCTTGATAACTTTGTCCCCCCCTCCGCTCCGCCCCCCGGTCCGCCGTGAGGGGGCACGTGAGGAAGAAAAAATGAAAGAGGCACAGTCAAGAATAATTATGTACACGAAAAAAAAAAGGTCTATTCGACGCCAGCAAAGGTGAGGGTGGCTGTGTGCGTGTGTGGTGTGGCTGCCTGCTTCTGTAGCACTTATTGCTTGCGTCGTACGGATTCACCCTCCTTTCTCTTCATACTCTTTCCTTGTTTTCGTGTGCGTGCTTGTGTTGTTGCCGTATCTCTTCTGTTGCGTGGCAGTCACTTGAAGCCACGTCAAGTGCAGGAACGTGAGGTGAGAGTAAAGGTCATAGGAAGCGTAGTTTTTGGGGGATCTGTGTCACAGCGCCGGCGTCGAGTGAGATGAGCGCACCAGGGGAAGAGCCACACGAAATTACTTCTGCTTCTATTGCCGCCGCCGATGACGTCCTCATGGAACTGCACGGCGAGTCCAGCGGTGCGCAGGACGCCTCAGCCGCGACGGGAATGGTGGAAATCATAAAGGAGCTTTACGACCTGCGGCAGAACGGTGCCCTCTCTGAGGAAGAGTTCCGCGCTAGCAAGCACCGCGTGCTGTACATGTACGGCGCAGCGTCCCAATCGTCTAGTGCGCGAAGCTCGTGCGTCTCGGGGGAACGTCCGCGCCATCGCGGAAAACACAGCCGCGGCAGCCGTGACTCGCGGGACAGCCGCCGCACCGCAAGCCG